AAGTCATTGAATCCTTGTGACACTCTGTGAAGCAGGTACCATTATTCTCTCCATTACATAGATGAAGAAATGGGTTTGCACAGATTGGTTACATAATTTGTCCAAGGCCACATAGCTAGTGAATGGTGAAGATGAGATTTAAACCCAGGAAGTCTTGAGGGGAGAGTCTTCTGCCTGGTTTATCCTGGGGGTAAACTTCTGAAGACCTCCTGTTTCCTTGGCCTTTCGGCCTTCTGCCTTGTGTCCTTGAGTGTCTCTTTTCTCCTCCCTCTCTGCATGGTATTTTATTTTGATTGGTTGCTCAGACCCCTTATCCATAGGAGCCCATACCCGGCACACTCAGTTTCAACTGAATGCCTGTCTAGGCCTTATCCTCAATTAGGAGCCCATTTCCATTCCAGCTGGGATGTCTGGGCAGAGGTGCTGTTCAGAGCCTGGTGTTGGAATTACCACACAATGTTTGGGTCTTCTGGATGCCTCCAAGTTGTTTCCCGTTTCTGTTGGGTGTGCTCATTTGTGAGGCATTCTGATGATCCCTCCACACGCCTGGTAAGATGTAGACCTTGGCTAGAGTGTGAGCTTTGTGTTCCGTTACTTCAAAAACATCAAAAGTCTCTGATCTGGATCCATCGCTGAAGTGCATCCTGTAGTTCCTTAAGGTAACGCTTAAAAATGCGAAATGAGTGGGAAAGAGAAATTACAATAGGAGTTGGTAAGAAAATAGAAAATAATTAGAATAATAATTAGAAGAAAGCAAAAAATAAAGTCTGTTATGCAACATCTTCTAAATTGGATGATTTATAGGAAAGTGTTTGAAAGGCCTACAATGCTCTCCAGTGGGAGGTAACATTATTATGATAATTGTTGCATTTGTTTTATTATTCTCACCTTAGGATTCTGGTTTCTGCTAAAGTTGAACATGGAAATAAATCAGTAGACGGCATGGAATTCCTGAAGGCCAGGTGCTGTTGAACAACCCACAGGCAGGGAAGCTCTCTTCTTGGGGCTCCTGCCTATCCAGTGAACATCCTGAAGATCCAGGGAACAATCAGTCCAGTCCTGATGGAGCAATCAAAGCTGAAGGAAGAAACCCATCTGTGCTGTAAACCAAAGAGAGGAAAGCATATTCTCAAATCCAGGCCACGTATCATCAGTTCAAACTGAAGGGAAAAGATACAGGCCTCCTAAACGCAGAATGATTCCAACTTGACAAAGGGCTTAGAGAGAATCAGAAACACTCTTGCAAATATAGCAGAGAAAGAGGCAAGGCTGGAGAAAAAATAGGCCAAGTAATAAGTGCGAAAGGGGATTGAAGCTAGTAATGACTCAAAAACGGCTGAGCTGCCGAACCTATTTAAAAATCCTCTTAAAAACAGAAGCAGAGAAGAAAAGAATCATGAACGGAAGTGGCACAGGGATGACCTTGAAGAATAATTAAACCAAAACCAAGTGAGGGGCTATTTTGCAGCTCAGAACATAGAGAAATCAGTGTTGGATGGCAGGATTCTGAAGGCATTAAGGGAGCTTGTGCTCTCTAAGCTAATTAGTTCACACATTTACAGTTATTTTGGGGAAAAGTAATAGGGATCTAAGGATGCTAAGAAGAGAAGAGAATAAGAAAGGTGGTTTCAATCTTGAACCACAGCAGAAGGCTTATGGAAATGCAGTGCAATGCAGCTGATGTCAACATGCAATGGGGGATGTGAAGGAGGGACCCTGGCATCCAGAGGGTAATGGGATCATTGGCAAGAACCATGATTGATTTTTTTTCGAGAACAAAGGAGGTCCAACAATTGATTTTTTTTTCTTGTGCACAGGAGTTGGCTGAATTTTCAAAGATAGCATAAATCTTTGAACTTTACTTACACATTTGGCACCAGGGTTCACATCATTTATTTCAAAGCTGAGGTAGCTTGGCTATATGGGCCCTTGCCACATGGATCTGGAGTGTCTGGAAACCTGCAGCAAAAGACAAGGCAATGGCAGTTTATCCTGCTCATGGCTGCATAGAGAGTAAATTATCCTGGTGAACGAAAGCTTCAGATGATCCTCAAATAGAGGATTCTGAAAGAGTCTCTGAGAATGTGAAGTCCTACACCATGAGCTTAGGAAATTGTAAGATGAGATTTGGCTGAGGGTAAAACTAGGTGCTCAGTAATGTCACTGGGCTTGAGAAGATTCTTGCCTCTGATGGATGACTGGATTGCATGAATTCTTATGTTCCTTACATATTTGATATTTTATAATGCTAGGAATAGTGGTTGTCATAATTTTCGAAGAATGGGAAGAAGGTAGGCTAACCAAAGGTTAAGTTGGACTCCCAAGGGAAGAGAAGATTTTCTGGGGTACTGAGGAATGCAGACCCTTTGATGCTCTTCTTTCTTCATCGTATGCTGTGCTTCAGTTCCAAGACGAAATATGCTTTCTATTGCCCCTGCCATCTTGGAGTTTTGTACTTTTAATACCATAACCTATAACCCATCTGATTCATGCATCCTCCATTGTTATTCCTAACTTGAGCCTTACTTCATTCTAGGTAGAATCTTCCCCATGAGAGTGCAGGGTAAATTAAAAAGTTTTATAGAGACCAAAAGGAATACATAATCTATTACTTTTATGGCTTGATTTAGAAAGCATAGTGGACAAAGTTACATAAGTCTGTAGTATTCTGAATGGGTAGAATGAAAAAGTGATCAGAATTGATAAAATGAAAGACAGGCTGATAGATGACATAAAATGTTCTGACTCATAATCCTCCTGAAAGCCCTCTCCCTGTATGATGCCATTGCCCTGGAAGCTCCCAGGGCCAATTTATTTTCCATTTTGCAGATGAGAATATTGAAACACAAGTCAAGGGCCTTCTGGTTTCAGCTCTGACATGTAAACCGTTTGGAAGTCATCGCTCTTATTTCTACAACAAGAAAAAAAGCTGAACAAACTGAAAATCAATGACTTTTCTTGGGCCCATGAGAGAATTAGGTCACAGAACAAACCAACACTTTGAAATCTAGAGAAACAAGTGAATACCAAACAAAATCACAGCTGAAGTCTGCTTACCTGGAGGAGAAGTCAGTTAAATGGTAATTGTGATGAATTGCTTGAGGCCGAGTGTGGACTAGTATCAAAATGAAAAACTCCTGGGGTCCACAGTCTTAGCGGGTGTCCTAAGCTTTTCTGGGTTTTGCTTCTGTGAACCCTACTAGATTCTCAGTAAAGAGCCAAGAAAGATCTGTCTTTGACTCTGGCAGGTAGGGATGAAAAGTTACCATTATGAAATAAATTCAAAGCATCTCCACAAAAAAAGAGCCTACTTTCCAGGGAAAAAGACTTTAGCAGTGACTTATCTCACCTGGAGGGAGGACATTTACTTGGCGTCAGCCCCCTCTAGACTTTCTGTCTCATCTAAGTAGGGGGGAGTAGCTAAAAACACTTGTGAAAGTCACAACCCAGGGACACAGAACCACTGAAAGACTGAGATTTAATCACAAGATTATGGAATGCTTCCCTTCCCTCACATCTTACTATTATACCAACAGGGCTCCAGTATAATCACAGTGGATTACAGCTGAAAAAACTGCAAGATGCAAACTTCATCTAAGGTGGAATTATTAGGGAAGCCCAAAGACAACAGAGGAGACGAAAACAAGGGCAATCGAAAAATTCAAAGTCTCTGCTATCTACTGCTACATCACATTAAACGCAACCCACCCCTAAGCCAGATTAACAAAAACCTCACATTTACCCATTTACCTCAGTTCCTATTGCCCCATACCTCATGTCTGGCTTTCACCTAAACACCACAAGGCATGCTAAAAAGAAAGAAAAAAGAGTCTGAAGAAACAAAGTAAGCATTACAACCAGACTCAGACATAAAACAGATGTTGGAATTACCAGATAGGGGGTTTAAAATACTATGATTAATATATTAAGCATCCTAATATGAAAAGCAAACATCATGCAAGAACAGATTGGTACTACAAACAGAGAGATAAAAACTCTGAGAAAGAATCAAAAGCAATACTATAAATCAGAAGTACTATACCAAAAATGAAGAATAACTTTATTTTTTTGTTATTTTATTTTATTTTTTTAAGTTCCGGGGTACATGTGCAGGATGTGCAGGTTTGTTACATAGGTAATTGTATGCCTTGGCGTTTTGCTGCACCTGTCAACCCATCATCTAGGCATTATTTGTATAAATTTATGGAGAACAAGTTTAATTTGGTTACATGCATTAATCACATAGTGGTGAAGTCGGGACTTTTAGGGTATTCTACACCTGGATGTCTAAATTTCTTGCTAGACCTGGGAAATTTGTATCATTTATTTTATTAAATAGGCTTTCTAAAGTTTTTTATTTTTCTTCCCCCTCAGAAATACTGATAAGTTGTAAGTTTATTTGCTTTATGTAGTCCCAAACATCTCTAAGGCTGTGTTCATTCTTTTTTCTTTATTTTTGTCTGGCCAGATTATTTCAAGACCTGTCTTGAAGTTCTGAAATTCTTTATTCTGCTTCTTCTTGTCTATTGCTGAAGTTTTCAAATGTATTTTGTTATTCCTTCGGTGAATTTTTCAAAAATTTCTGTTGTGTGTGTGTTTTAAGATATCTATCTCCTTGATAAATTTCTCATTTAAATCCTGAATTGATTTTTCTAATTTCTTTGTATTGGTTTTCAGATTTATCTTGCATCTCATTGCATGTTTTAAAAATAAATATTTGGAATTAAAAAAACTGATTTTTTCTTGAGGCTACGTCTCACCCTGTTGCCCAGCCTAGTGCAGTGGTGTAATCACAGCTCACTGTAACATTTATCTCCTGGGCTCAAGCGATCCTCTCACTTCAGCCTCCTGAGTAGATGGGAATACAGGCATGCACCACCACACTGAGCTAATTTTTGTATTTTTTTTGTGTAGAGACAGGGTTTTGGCATGTTGCCCAGGCTGATCTTGAACTCTTGAGTTCAAGCCATCTGCCTGCCTCAGCCTCCCAAAGTGTTATGATTACAGTCATAAGCCACTGTGCCAGGCCTATTTTGAACTCTTTATCTGACATTTTGAGGATTTCTTTTTGGCTAGGATCTACTGATGAATGACTGTATTCCTTTGAGGGTGTCATATTACCTTGCATTTTTGTGTTTTTTGTTTCTTTATGTTGACGTATGCACATATGGAGCAACAATCACTTCTCATTTTTGAATTTGCTTTGGTTGTGGGAATTTTTTTTTCTTAAAGATGGGACTCTAATGTTGGTTGGGTAGGCAAATAGATAATATGAACAATTCTATAGTTATTAAAAATATTAAATAGTTAATAGCCTCTCAAAAAGAGGCAACAGGCCCAGATGGTTTCACTTGCGGGTTCTACCAAGCATTTAAGGAAGAAATGATGCTAATTTTTCATAATCTCATCCATTAAAAATAAGAGCAGAGGGAATACTTTCTAAATCATTCTGTTAGGCCAGGATTATCCTAATACTAAAACCAGGTAAAGACATTATAAAAAAGTAAAAGTGCAGATCAATAGTTCACATTAATATAGAAGCAACAATTCTGAACAAGATATTAGTAAATTAAATCCAACATGTATAAAAATAATTATACACCACAACCAAATAGAATTTATTCCAAGGCTGTCTCAACATTAGAAAATTAATCAATATAATTAACCATCTTAACAGATAAAAAAGCAAAATCATACGATAATATAAATTGGTGCTGCAAAAGCATTTGGAAAAATCTGACAACCACTTGTGATAAAAACTCTCAGCAAACTAGGATTAGAGGGGAACTTCTTCAACTTGATAAACAACATCTGCAAAAACCGTACAGCTGACATTTAGTGGTGAGAAACTGAATGCTTTCTTCCTAAAATGAGAAACAAGTCAAAGATATCTTCTCTCATCACTCCTATTCATCTTTGTACTACAGTCCTACCTAATGAAATAAGAGAAGGAAAGAAGATAAAGTTATACATATTGGGCAGGAAGAAATACAACTGTCTTTGCTCCCAGATGACAAGATTGTTTATATAGAAATTCCTAAAGAATTGAAAACAAAACAAAAAACCTCCTGGAACTAATACGTGAGTATAGCAAGGTCATAGGACACAAGGCTAATATACTAAAGTCAAATGCTGCCCTATACGTCAGCAGTGAACAATTGAAGTTCGAAATTTTAAAAATCAATTTCCATGAAGTCAAATGCTTATGTATAAATGTAACTGAAAATGTACAAGACCTATATGTGGAAAACTATGATACTGATGAACAAAATCAAGGAAAATTAATAATTAGATACTCTGTGTTTATGAGTTGAAAACACAAATCAGGAGACAAATTAAAGAGAGGGATGAGACTAAACTCTGTTTTCAGATTTTTAAACCAGAAAAGAATTTTAATTTGAGGAACTTGATTTTGATGCCTTATTAATAGGAACAATTTTAAACAATTCATCAATTGATTAACTGTCTAATTTGTTTATATCATTGCTATTAAAATGCTTCAGAGCAAAAAATTCAAATAGTTTAAAAGGTGATGAAAATTTTTTCTCCATTCCAAGAAGAAACTACAATTATCAATGTCTTGGCTGTGTTTCCAGAAATGTTCTTATCATACGCAGTCTTTCAGATGGTAAATCAGAATCTGTGGCTAAAGAAGTTAGAATGTTGACTGTTCTATTTGTTAGATCTTTATATACCCTACAAACTTGTGAGCTTTTACTTTCTTCTTTGCATTGTTTTTAATTTTTAAAATAATACTAATTTTTATAGATCACTAAAAGTATGAATTTTGTAGTTAACATGTAAAGTTTCTGGTTTCATTTGCCCTCTATTGCTTTTGGGCAAATAATCCAAGAGTAGGGTCAAGGTTGGTGAGATTTGACCTCTTTTTTCTGAGTATGCATTGAGTATGAGTGTTTATGTGGAGTTTGGAAAGGAGAAAATATCTGGAAAAGAGAGAAAACAGGAGAACGAAAAGTACTATTTCTCTCCTTGTCTGTCTCTTGCTTTTCCAGGACTGCTTACTGGTGTGCAAAGGGGTGTTCCCAGGCCTTAACACCTACCGTGTGGATATCACTATTTTGGAAGCCTACTAGTAGCAGCAGTTAGACTCATATAAGTTCCTAAGCCTTTAAAACCTAGGACTGCAATTTGGAACCTGAACCTGTGTAATTGTCTATGGTATGACTGTGGATGTGGAAGTTCTGCATCTTTAAAAAATTCTCTCTGCCTCTCCGCTCAAAGTCTCCTAGTCTCCTTCATTCAGCAACACCAGCGTGAAGTGAGAAGGGAAATGTGCAGAGAAATCTACCACACTCTTACGCTCATTACTTCCACCACTGATACCTGGCACTGACTAAAACCAATTCCGTCTCCCTATTTTTCATGTTTCTAATTTCTTGCAAACCATCACAGATATTGCAGACTATAGTAGGCAAATTGCATACCATGCTAATGAACATAGCAAATCAGTTGAATAAGCAGGAGCTTGATGTGCAAGAATAAGCACCATGATAACACTGTTGCATGAAAGTTGCTTTGATTGGTATTGTAAATGAGGCCTTTCTTCTGGGGGTTCCACGTGCTTTGAGGTTGACGTGAACATGAACCTGTCCTCTGGGTCACACCACCAGCATCAGTGTGGCACCCTTGGGCCTAGTGCCCTGGACTGAGGCTAGGGCTGAAGCTAGGCCTGGGGCAAGGATTTGGAGGAGAGAAATTGGAGAATGGCTTCCGGCTGCCCTTGAACGCTTAAAATTTAGGAAGGGACACAGAACATTTGTACAATCTTATAAGCATTATCTTATAATGAAAATCAAATAATGCAATAGCCCAGAGTACCTTGAACAGTGCCAGAGTCTGTGTGGGAGTAGAGAGAAGCTTTGGGGATGTGGCTGGAAGATATCACAAGGCACAGGGTTCTCCATGGTAACTTTTCAACTGTGATTGGCAAACTGTCCTCAGCTCACTATCTCGAGGCTCCATGGAGCACGATCATGTTCCCAGATGCTCTCTTTTGGAGTCTAGCCAGATATGGCCACTAGCTTTGCTCGGAATTAGCTCAAAACTTGATGTCCTGTCTGAGATCCTTTGACTTAGTGACATTTCCTGTAACGGAGCACTCCATGTCTATACAGTCATGTGCAACCCACTGACAGTAAGTCCAGGGGGAGTCTGCTGGTTCTGGTGTTTACCCTAACAGGCTTGAAAAACAGCATGTCTCTTCCTGGCATATCTTCTCTTTACTGGTTTTCATCTTTCCAGTCTCTTGTCTTAGAGAAGATAATACAATTGTTAACGTTTCACATCATTTCTCAGCAGAGTAATTGTTTTGTTTCCAATGCCTTTAAAGAATACCTTAGATTGCCATGAAATAGTGTGATCTGAGACAAGTTGTCTATCACATCTGTGGATGTGTGCAAGGGCAAGCTGGGTGAGTCAGATGCCTACCGTCACCCAACGAATCACCTGGAAACCTTATTAGGAACTGTCCAGTGGCAGACTTAAATATATTTACTTGGCATCACTTGGTTCTTCTGACTTTAGCTTTGCTCATTTCGGAAAGAAGGAGGGTGGTGCTGGGTGCTGCCAGCTGTCTTTCTCTGCTCTGGGGAGTGCATGGACCTGGAAGTGTTGATCTGTTATGGTACATTTGCACAGTGCAAAGTTCAGAGTGGTCACAGAGCTTGATGGTATCTGAAGGATTCTGCAGCCTCCAAGTCAGAAGCAGCCCTCTTAAGTCTTGTATTAAATAAGGCCCCACCTTATAAGGAGGAAAGTGAGGTGAAGCTGAAAATACACAGATTTAGTTAACTTACCCAGTGTCCCATCACTAGAGTGTATCAGTACAGTAAAAACACCTATCCTGTCCCCATGTGAGTTGTTGATCTAACTTGGTGACTTTTTGGAAGCCTTCCTTCAGTGCAGATTTATTTCAAAGAGCTCATCTCAGGCCTGCTATCCTTAAGGAGAATGTGTGGGGTGTGGAGGCTGCTTAAATCACCACCGAAAACGTTTGAGGACTAAGGGAGTAGTTTTGACTCACTATTCACCTTTCTCCTTCTTTGAAGAATACACAGATTTCACTAAATTCACCCACACATCCACAACCCCTTCAATGCATTTATCATATCAAGATTTCATTTTTATCTGCTGGCATAACTCAATGTAGGCCCATATTTAACCATCCTTATTGTGTTTTTCTAATTATACATTTTTTCTTTGCCTCCAAACTGTCTTTTTAGGGATATGGCTTAGCTGTTTCTTTATGTTTTAAGGTTACACTGGGAATTTATTTTTTTCCCTCTTCATGGCATCCATAAAGCTAAACTATATTCAGTACCAAATACAAATATATAGCTTTGTTGTTCCTTCACTAAGATTTTCACCCTTGCACTAATATAGTTTGATTAGGACAAGTTCAGTGTTGTGACAGTCTTTTTCACATATCTCTCTGGGACCTAATTTTGATCTCTATAAAACAGGGATAGTTATGAAGCAGATGGGTCCAACCACCTCAAGGCTGTTGCGAGGACAAAAGAAGTTAATATATGAATGTGCTCCCAAAGACCTTACATGGGTCCTTTGAGTAGGGGCATTGACCTTTCTCTTTTGGTCTCTGCCTTCTGCCCTCATCCAGTCTCTCCTCTCATACTTCAGTCTCAGATGCATCATCGTGCCTCTGAAATGTTTCATTGCCACACTGCATGTATTAGTTTGTTATTATTTACTTATCTATATTCTACACCAGACTCTAATAAATCTGAGATCTTCGTTTGGTTTCTCTGTATTCCCATTCCTGGAGCAAGTGGATTCCCAATTAATTCTTAAATACTTGTTGAATAATTGAGTTATTGTTACCACCTATAACTATGTGAAATAAAACCAAATATTTTTTCCATATTTATTAGGTCTGAGATAAACTATGTCTTGTTTTACATAAAAATCACAAGAGTCTTATGAGGTTGATGTTATTAATATCTCTGTATTATAGTTGAGAAATTGGAGGCAATTTGCCTAAGGACAAAAAGCAAGTAATACTGGCGAAGGTGGGGTTTGAACTCAGGAAGTGTGACTTCAGAGCCTTCATGCTTAAATAGCATACTGAGACATTTCTTGGGAGCAACAGTGGGATTTGCAGTTATCCCAGATGCCGGCTTATCTGTGCTTCAGCCAGCTGAAGTCAAGGGATCAGGGAATCTTAGTTGAAGTCCTCAGGTGTGATGACTTATCTGAATGCTCCACACATGTGACTACTTCAGCCATTGGAATTGGGGGACCACTGAGCAGATTCCAGAACCTGTTCTCAGTGGTGCGTATCAGGCAGGTCTTAGTCTATGTCCAGATGTGCTCCTTTCTGAGTGAAGTTTGTATTTTTTTTCTCTAGAATTTCTATTAGTTGAATAATATCAGATTGCTAGAGATCTTTTTATTTGCTTTTGTTTATTTTAGTTCTATCTGCCTGAAGACATACTACTCTTTGGTCTTTCCTCAGGATGGGCCCTCTGTAGCAGACATGTCTGCAACACCAAAGTACTTGTTTCCTCCTGCCTTCTCCTCCCTACATCCAAGGCCTTTTTATTGTAATATAAACAAAACTGTTATTTTAAAACCACTGACTCTGAGATGTGTCATCTTAATTTTCATCTTGACTTTCTTCCCTGCAGTCCTTCTATGAGCTAGAATTAAAAATTAGATATGTTTTAGAAATATGTTTGGAATCAGAAATAAGGTGGTGTCTTCCTTGTACTTTGAGCATTCCTCAGCCTTCTTTCCTCTCTCTCATCTGTTTTCTGACTTTGTAAATTGTTGTGTTGTAGTGGGTGCTTTATGAGGTAGTCTAACTTGTGATAAGGATGTGATGTGTAGTTGGAATGGCAGGTTCTGCAATGAGGTCACTGAATCCAGGACAGGTAAACAACATGTTATTTGTCTAACTTCGAAAAATCCTTACAAATGCTCTATTTTTCTTGCCAGAGTTGATCCTCATTACCACATTTTCTTATTTATCAGGATGGGAGCAGGCTCACTTGAGGGAGAAATGCTATCCTGGTTAAATGTACAGGTAGACAACTTTTTCAGAGCCTCAGAGGGCAAAAGAATGCTTGATCTGGATGTGTATCTTTACCTTAGAAACATGTTCCACTGTGGCCAGAAATCTAGAAATCTATTTTTTTTTTTAATTGGAAGCTATTCAACTTTTTGAAAAAGTGATGTACAGACCCTTGAGCATTCCTTGCTGCCTCAACCCTCTCCCTGAATGTGGAGAGCTTGGAGACTATCTACCTTGTATCTAGGAATTTGGGAAGGATAGGCAATATTGCTCTCACCAAAACATAATTGACCCACTCCTGCCTCTGAGGCTTTGTTAATTGAATTATCATCCTGCAACATTTACTCCTATTTTTTTCTGACTGCATATCCTATTATTTAAGCTCAATTAAGGTGTTGCCTGCTCTCAGAAGCCTTACCTGACAAAGAAAGTCAACAGTCCTCCTCTGTATTCTGATAGTCCTTGCTGTCTCTAGCAATCATCTAGCATATGCTGTTAATTAGTTTTCCTCATGCTTAATATTTTCCACTAGATTGTAAGCTCTTCAAGGCCAATGGCTCTGCCCTTTTCAATCTTTGTATGACCAGAGGCTTTCTAGCACAGAGATTTGTTTACAGTAGGTGTGAAATAAATGTGTGATATTGGCTGATTTATGAGCATGCCCTCTAATACAAGACATATGGGGTTCATTGGCTTGGTGCTTGAGTGTCACCACCCCCACACCTCCACCCTTTTCTCCAAGTTATCCTCTTGGCCTGGCCCAGCTGAAGCTGTGGAAAGTAGATAAATCATCCAGCTCCTAGGTCAGACAGCTCAGAGACAAATGAACACAGCAGGTCGTTGCCACTATAATGATGCAGTGGCTGTTCTGTTTGCCAGTTTCTGGACAACAATAGATTGCCTCCCTTCTCTTAACTTTAATTCCATTTCTCATAAGGCTGAAATTGCAGTTGCTATTTTCCAACTTCTTTTCTCCCCACCTTGCCCTAGTTCATGTCAGTGTTACCTTAACTAACATTTTTATGGCTTGAAAATCAATTCAGCACCAGATATAAAGACATTCTCTGTCTCAAGCCTTTGTTCTCAGCACTAGCCTCAGCACCCTCCATTGGCCCAGTGCTGTAGCTTCAAACCTGCTTCAGGGTCCCTAGTCTCTGATTCCTTTTTTGTTTGAACTTTTGTCAGATCTGTGTTGATGTTTATGAGATAGACATTCTCTTGTTCTCCTTTCATTGATTTATTTTCAGATAACGGAATCTTTGGAATTATGAAATTGAAAAGATATTGGTTTGAACAATCCTTGTTAATCATAAGCCTCACTTATTTTACCCTTTTCAACTTAATGATCTTGGAATACAGAAAAGAGATTTAGGGCTTAAAGCAGGGTGCTTGGAAAAGATTTCACTGGTTCTCAATGGCCAGGCTCAGAGAAGTATTTAAAATCCTTTACCATCGAGATTCAGATTATTTTGTCAGTTCTTTCTCTAGGCCAGTTAGTCTGGTCTTTAAATTCAGCACCACGGATAGAGGAGATTAGAGGCGGGGATGCGTTAGGCAAAACCCTGCCTGGGGAAGTTTTAGTAGTGCACAAAATGATTACTTTTATTCTCAGGAATGGCCTTTTGAGTTGAGAAGCCCTATACAGGACACCTTTGCTGCCCTAAATGAACACCTGAGCTGAAGTAAGTTTTACTAAAAAGCATTTACATCGAAATGAAAATATTAAGATTTGAATTCCAGTCTTTATATGTACTAGGTACATGGCTTTGTGCCTGGTACACTTTCTGAGAACCAACTTCTGCTGTACAGATATGTTTGGGAAACTACTACCCTGAGAAGATGTAGAGTGTACTTCTAAGTTGGGTTTGCATTCTGGCTCTATTCCTTACTTTGGGATCTTGGACAAGTTACTTAAATTTTCTATGGCTGTTTTCTCATCTCTTAAGAAGGTGAAAAAGGTACTTTATTCATAATGTTGATGGGAGCCTTAAGCGAGATATTATATGAAAAATTCTTAGAAGTGTATATGGCATATAGTAAGTGCTACGTTATTATCACTATAATTATTTAACAAAATTACTGTAAAAATTACATGAGATAATATGTGTAGAAAGTTGGACAGGGACTAGCCATGCAATAATTCTGGTTATACTTTCTTTTTTCCTCATTGATGTTTGAAATCACTCTATTCCTTTGCATTAAGCATTGACCTCAAAGACTTATAGCACCCTTGGAAGAGGATTTATTTTCTTGTACACCTGTGTATGTTTGAATTAGTTCGTCGCTTACTGTGGGACAGAAAAATGTAAAAGTTCTGGGTGCTAGAGCTAGGGAGAGTGGGCCAGGAAAGAAAGGATAAAAGCTTCCCATACTGTTTTCTGGTTTGTTGAAGGGGTGAGTGTAATTTAGAGAATTAAATGTAGGCGTCCTCTTCATAATCCTATGCAAAAGGCTCACCATCCACACATCATAGCTGCAGGCTTGTTGTGATTTGCTGTATGAGACTCTGGAATCTTATTGAGAATGGAAAAGAACTCAAATAATATGCATTGAAATCTGGAAGCTCAGCCCAATGGTCTTGGAAATTGTGCCTCTGAACTGGGATCTGTTTGCTTCATTCATTTATATATTCACATATTGTACATTAATTCATTTATACTCAGTAAGCATTTATTGATAATTTACTGTATCTAGGCATAATGTTAAGGATTATAGCAGAGAAATATTTAGACTAAAGGCTGCCATCAGGCATTAGGGAATGCAAAACATACATGAAAATCATTAATTAAGTGAATCAATAAATATTAAGTATTTAATATTGTGTCTGGCAAATGATTGGGATTCAATATTTGTTAGATGAGTTTGCTGTAAGTTTTTATTATTTATACTATCAAGTTTGATAAGTTACTGTCTACATATAGGGTTTAAAGGAGGAGTGAGATATTGCTCTGTTGGGGACTGAAAGGCGATATCTTCAGAAAGGAGGTCACATTTGAGATGGGCCTTGAGGCAGGGGTATAACTTGGTCATGGACAAATGGAAAAGAAGTGGGTCTCTAGCTGAAAGGTATGGTGTGAACCACAAGGCAGTAGGAAATCATAGGGTATTGATCATGAAAAAATACCAAGTACTTTGAAGTGGAAGAAACATTATGTACAAGTATTGAGAGATGAAACTGGGAAGGTATGTTAGAGATTTATCTTGGTAGCTTTGAGTGCCAGGCTGCAGACTTTGGGCCTTGTGGTGTGAATGAAGCGGTATCATTCAACGTTTTATTTATTTATTTATTGATTACTCCAGATGAATAATCAGGTCTTGATCTGTTTTTATAATAAAAAAATAATTGACAGCAGTCAACAGTAACACCATAGTTGCTATTCTTTTTAATGAAATTGTCCTGTGAGAATTCCAGGTATACAAAATGAACCCACCTGGTCACCCAAATTTTGGATAATAATCTCTTGATTTGTGATTTTCTATTTACAGATTCAGCCATGTCTTCCTAGGACCCAGCAACCAAACCTGGACCAAAGGTCTCAGATCCTCAGCAGTGGGGGTGCATCTGGTGATTGTATTCATGCTAAATTTGTGCCAAGAGACACCAGTACTCGTGGGAGAATTAATATTTCACTTCTGTTTAGGTTTCTCATCTGTGAGCTGCTATCACTGAATACATAAAGAAATTGAGCTTGTATGATTTCAGTCTTCACCTTCTGATGCTGATGAAACAGGATTCTATGCAGGTGAGTGGGCTGAGGAGCAATGAGGTTAAGGGAAGTTCTGAGGAATATGAGGGGATCCTTTACCCCATTTCCTGTTTTCCCTCCTCTTTCCTCTTTCTCTTCTCATCTTTCCTCTCCCCTCCTCTTGCTTCCCCTCCCCTCCCCTCTCCTCTCTTCTCCTCTCCTCTCCTCTGCCTTCCTGTGTTAGTCAGGGTTCTCTAGAGGGACAGAACTAATAAGATAGATGTATATATTAAAAGGAGTTTATTAAGGAGTACTGACTCACAGGATCACAAAGTGAAGTCCCACAATAGGCTGTCTGCAAGCTGAGGAGCAAGGAAGCCAGTTCAAGTCTCAAAAGTAGGGAAGCTAATGGTGCAAATTTCAGTTTGTGGCCAAAGGCCTGAGAGCCCCTGGCAAAACACCGGTATAAGTCCAAGAATCCAAAAGCTGAAGAACTTGGAGTCTGAAGTTATAGGGCTGGAAGCATTCAGCATGGGAGAAAGATGAAGCCCAGAAAACTCAGCTCTTCCATCTTCTCCTGTGTGCTTTATTGTGGCCACACTGGCAGTTGATTAGATGATGCCCACTCAGATGTAGGGTGGGTCTGCCTCTCCCAGTCCACTGACTCAAATGTTAATCTCCTTTGGCAACACCCTCACAGACACACCCAAGAACAATACTTTGATTCCTTCAATCCGATCAAGTTGACACTCAGTATTAACCATTATGTCTCCCCTCCTCTCTCCTCCTCTTCTTTCCCCTCCCCTCTCCTCCCTCTCTCAACATGCATATGCACATGTACATAAGACGCATATAGGCACATCATGTGGAGCCTCAGGCAAGATTATATGAAAGTCAGCTTCAACCTTGATATGGTTTGGCTCTGTGTCCCCACCCAAATCTCATCTTGTAGCTCCTATAATTACCACATGTTGTAGGAGAAACCCAGAGGGAGATAATTGAATCATGGGGGCAGGTCTTTCCTATGCTATTCTTGTCATAATGAATAGACTCATGAGATCTGATAGTTTTAAAAACTGGTTTCCCTTCACAAGCTCTCTCTCTCTTTGCCTGCTGCCATCCATGTAAGATATGACTTGCTCCTCCTTGCCTTCTGCCTTGATTGTGAGGCCTCCCTAATCATGTGGAACTGTAAGGCCATTAAACCCCTCTCTTTTGTAAATTGTCCAGTCTTGGGCATCTTTATCAGCAGTGTGAAAATGGACTAATACAGTAAATTGGTACCAGGAGCAGAGTGCTACGGAAAAAGTACCCCAAAATGTGGAAGTGAGATTGGAACTGGGTAACAGGCAGAGGCTGAAACAGTTTGGAGAGCTCAGAAGGCGGCGGGAAAATGTGGAAAAGTTTTGAATTTCCTAGAGACTTTGTTGAATGGCTTTGACCAAAATGCTGGTAATGATGTGGACAATAAGGTCCAGGCTGAGGTGGTCTCAGATGGAGATGAGGAACTTGTTGAAAACTGGAGCTCTTTGTTATGTTTTAGCAAAGAGACTGACAGCATTTTGCCCCTGCCCTAGAGATTTGTGGAACGTTGAACTTGAGAGAGATGATTTAAGGTATCTGGTGGAAGAAATTTCTAGGCAGCAAAGCATTCGAAAGGTGACTTGGGTGCTATTAAAGGCATTCAGTTTTAAAAGGGAAACAGAGCGTAAAAGTTTAGAAAATTTGCAGCATGACAATGCAATAAAAAAGAAAATCACATTTTCTGAGGAGAAATTGAAGCCAGCTGCAGAAATTTGCATAAGTAATGAGACCCAAATGTTAATCATCAAAACAATGGGAAAAATGTCTCCAGGGCATGTCAGAGACCTTTGTGGCAGTCCTCCCCATCACAGACCTGAGGCCTAGGGGAAAAAAAATGGTTTTGTGGGCTGGTCCCCGGGTCCCTCTGCTATGTCCAGTCTAGGGACTTTGTGCCCTGCATCTCAGCTGCTCTAGCTGTGACTAAAAGGGGCCAAAGTACAGCTTGGGCTGTGACTTCAGAGTGTAAGCCCCAATCCTTGGCAGCTTCCACGTGGTGTTGAACCCACAGGTGCTCAGAAGTCAAGAATTGAGGTTTGGGAACTTCCACCCAGATTTCAGAGGATGTATGGAAATGCCTGGACGCTCAGGCAGAAGTTTGCCACAGGGGTGGGACCCTCATGGAGAACTTCTGCTAGGGCAGTGGAGTCAGAGCCCCCACACAGAGTCCCTACTGGGGCAATGCCTAGTAGAGCTATGAGAAGAGGGCCATTACTGTCCTCCAGACCCCAGAATGGTAGATCCGCTGACAGCTTGCACTGTTTGCCTGGAAAAGCTGCAGACACTCGATGCCAGCCTGTGAAAGAAGCCAGGAAGGAGGCTATATCCTGCAAAGCCACAGGGGCAGAGCTGCCCAAAATCATGGGAACCCACTTCTTGCATCAGCGTGACCCAGATGTGAGACATGGAGTCAAAGGAGATCATTTTGGAGCTTTAAGATTTGACTGCCCTGCTGGATTTTGAACTTGCATGGGACATGTAGCCCCTCTGTTTTGGCCAATTTCTCCTGTTCAGAATGGCTGTATTTACGCAATTCCTGTTACCCCCATTGTATGTAGGAAGTAACTTTACTTGCTTTTGATTTTACAGGCTCATAGATGGAAGGGACTTGCCTTGTTTCAGATGAGACTTTGGACTGTGGACTTTTGAGTTAATGCTGAAATGAGTTAAGACTTAAGGGGACAGTTGGGAAGGCATGATTGGTTTTGAAATGTGGAGATGTGAGATTTGGGAAGGGTCAGGGGTGGGATGATATGGCTGGTTCTGAGTCCTCACCCAAATCTCATCTTGTAGCTCCCATAATTCCCATGTGTTGTGGGAGGGACCTGGTGGGAGATAATTGAATCATGAGGGTGGGTGTTTCCTGTACTGTTCTCATGATAGTGAATAAGTCTCATGAGATCTGATGGTTTTAAAAATGGGAGTTTCCCTGCACAAGCTCTCTCTCTCTTTTCGCCTGCTGCCATCCATGTAAGACGTGACTTTCTCCTGCTTGCCCTCTGTCATGATTATGAGGCCTCCACAACCATGTGGAAGCGTAGGTCCATTAAACTCCTCTCTTTTGTAAATTGTACAGTCTTGAGTATGTCTTTATCAACAGTGTGAAAATGGACTAATACAGACCTGCAGTTGGGTGTTTGGCTTTGTCAGTCCCTGGTCCTATGACTGACACAATAGCCCCTCATATTCTTTCAAACATAAAAAGTAGTTTCCATGCTGGTTTAGTTGAGTGGTGGTAGTGATTGTGAGGTAGACCCTAAAGTAGATCATGGCAGCTCAACTGTCTCATTGACCTGGGCATATTCAGACAGTCTATAGAAATGAGTAGAATGCGTAAGTATAAAGCACCTTCAGAGAGTGGTTGAATTTGGGGAGGAGGTTTGGCAAGGAATTAAACCAGCTCCAGGTATCTCTAAGCAGCTGAATCTATTGAAGACGCATGTGAGTTGTCCTTTGTATGAAACGTGGCAGCCCAGAAGTCATCCCTCTTTGTGCAAGAACAGCCTTGTTTATTCAATCAATTCCTATTTGAGCACCTACTGTGAATTAGGATTGTGCTGGGCCTCAGGGAGATAGCAGCAAACAAGGTAGATGAAAACCTCCACAGTCATGGAGGTCACTTGTGAAACAGATAGAAGGGTTGTTTTAGTGGCTTGGTCTCCAGAGGTTGCTCCCTGCTTATCGCTCTCAATAGATTTTAGTGAAACGCTTTGGATCAGAGATGGGAGTGGATCGGACCCCATTCATGGGAGGAATTTGAAGTACCAGATCATAGTCAGCTGACCACATTCAAGCAGGAGGACAGGGATGGAAGCCTCTACTGTGGGGTGGATCTCTGGTGGGATGGCTTTTTTAGTTGGCTCTTGCCCATTTGAGTTTATATGGAGGGCAATGGGAGCCAAGAAGACAGAGAAGACCAAATGCCAAAAAGATTCAGGAAGCCTTCTCAGGGACAGTGACTTAATGGACTTTCAGAGAGAAAAAGTTTTCTTTCAAATATGGAATTAAAGAGTAAGTCAATATTGGATTGACTGAAAATTGGGCTGACTTTTGAGATAACAGAGAGGTGCCTAAGAAAACCACATAGAATGACAAAGATTGAATAGATTTGCCCTAGGCTTGAGGGTCTGTAGCCTGCATCTTTCTCCAATGCTTTTTTCCTCCTTTCTACTCCTGTATTTGCATTGTTACTGGCACAACCTTTGTTATCTTTCTAGGATCCCTTCACTGGCCTGTCTGCTACCAAATCCTGCCAGGTCATACCACAGTCATGTGTCACTTAATGACATGAATATGTTCTGAGAAATGTACCACTGGGTAATTTTGTCATTGTGAAAACATCATAGAATGTTCTTACATAGACCTAGATGGAATAGCCTGCCACACACCTGGGCTTTATGGTAGAGTTCATTGCTCCTAGGCTGAACACCTGTCCTGCATGTGACTATATTTAATACTGTAGGCAATTGTAACACAATGGTAGGTGTTTTCATATCTGCACATAGAAAAGGTACAGTTAAAACATGGTCTTATAAGATCATGGAACCACTGTCATACATGCCGTTAGACATTGAAATGTCATTGTACAGTGCATGACTGTATAAGCCAAAGTCTATACCTGGCCTTCACCTGACACAGACCAGCCTTGTCACACCAGATTCAACACAGATCATTCTGTTTCTAACAGAGATCCTGTGGCAGCCTGCAGCTCAGAGGCCTCTGTGGGCAAGCTCCATGGAGCTGGGCCTGCTGGCTTTTTTGTTTGCACACACCAAATTTGAGATGGGCTATCATTAACCAAATGGAGAGCAGCTGTGCTTACTGAGACAGTGTGCCTCCTCAGATTTGTGGACATGTCAGAATTTTTTTTTAGCCAGAATGTGTGGCTCTAGAGGCCTCAGAAATATGTGAAGCAGCCTTAGTTAAGGTTCTACAAGATCCCCCTTCTCTCTGGTTTCATATAGCCTGGGCTGACC